GGATGGGGGGAAACTGCACCAGGGAGCTGGCAGAAGCTGAGCCACCCTGTAGGTGGTGACATGAGACACCCTGCTTTCCAGGCACCAGTGTGGGGCTGTGCGGGTGGCAGGGATGTGCTGGGGGTCAGTGGGGCTGGCTGGGAGCACCAGGAGCAAGCAGGACTCAATGCGGGGAGTTAAGGGTGGATGGCGGCTGCCTCTCCCCCAATGTGCTCTGCTAGGAGCCACTTGCTCCCTCCTCTGCCCCAGTTTGGAGGCCCTCGGTCCCTGCCGCTTCCCACGCAGGCTCATTAGCAGTTCAGAGCGAGAAAACGCGTTAATGGCACGAAATTACTTCAGGCTGTGACATGGGGAGTGGGGATCCAAGCCCAAACCCTCACACACAGCGGGGACTGCTGCTTTTCCTCTTCCCTTTGAACTTCCCCAGCTGCCCCGGGCTGTGGTTCCCCGAGCACGGAGCAGGGCAGCAGGGACGGTGGGGCACAGCAGGGTGTGCCAGCCGAAGTCCCCAGCCGCAGCTGCACCGACCCCTGCCCAGGCTCAGCCCACCCACCCCGGCTTCAGAGCAGCGCCTGGGCTCAGGGCATCGCCCTCGGCTGCCTGGCTCTTGCAACAGGATGGGTCATCGCAGTTTTGGTTTCACCGGGCCCCTGGGCACGCCACGCTCATCCTTTGAGAGGAAGGCAAGGGGACAGGGTGCTGCCAGGGCCTGGCGAGCCAGCCGTGCTGGCTGAAGCCAGCGTGCGGGAGGTGGCCCGGGCCCCCTGACTCAGCCTGCCGTGGCGGAGGCAGAGGTGGGGTAGTGATACCGGAGCTAAAAAAAAACCTGGCCGAGCGCCGGGGAGAGGAAATTTCTCATTAGCCAGAAATGTGTGGCTGAACCAGTCTGACACCCGGGGCGGCCCCCGGCCCCGGCGGCGATGCTGGCCCGGCTCCGAGGGAGATCAAAGCGGGAGAGGGGCAACAAGGGGGCTCAGCAGCCCTTGGGATGTGGTTGTTGGGGGTCTGGGGCAGGGTGAAGGGTCTCCTCGTCTGAAGATGCCAGGTTGAGGTGGCAGGAAGGCCTGGGTGGGCAGTGGCATGGGTTATGTTGCCATATGGGACACAGGCATCAATAGCTGTGACAATCCAGGACTGGGCAGGGGTGTTGGCCAGCGAAACCAGGGTAAGGCAAGCTAGCAGGGACAGAGGCATCTCTGCCTCTCGCTTCCAGCTGTGCAGCAGTCCTTTGCTCCCCTCGTGCCCAAAGGAACCAGCCAGGTACCACAGGTACCACAACCAGCGTTTCCAGCCATGGCAGCACTTGGTGGCAGCAATGCAGCCCCTGGCACCAGCCCCAGCCTTACCAGTGAGGCCACCATTGCTTTCCATCTGACTTCCCCTGAAGATCCAGCCTTTCCCAGACTGCATTGAGTCAAGGCATTGCCCTGGTCTTGTTTAATAACCTAAAGTTGCTTTTTGCTGCCTGGTCCAGTGTTGGGTCAGATTCTGCTCCCCAAACACGGCAGACAGGCGTGGGGTGATCGATGCGAGTGCATTTGCTCGCTGGCTGTGCTGCCAAAGACGATGTCAGCTCCCAGGAATCTGTGAGAGAGCTGCCTCCTGCTCCCCAAGGCAGCCCCCCAGCCCTCAGATCCCCTTTTCCAGAGCATCCCAGGCTGGCTGGCAGCTTCTGGGGCTCTTGTCCCCCATGGTCCTCCTGTAGGGACACTCAGCCCTATGAGGGGTGAGGCTGCAGCCCCAGCAGCAGCGGGCAGGCAGGACAGGCTGTGGTCATGGCAGATGAGGACAGATGCTACACCATGTGCAATTCCTCTGCTAGCAACCAAAGGAGACTGGAAGGAAGGAATGGAAAGAAAATGATTAAAACAATTCAGGATTTTTTTTTTTATAATTAAAAAAAAAGCCCTGGGAAAAAAGCCGTGTAGGGTCCTGGCACGTGAACAGAGTCTGTAAGTAGTCTTAAAAATTACCAATAAATAATCTTAACGGGAAACAGAAGGAGCAGAACTGGGGTGTTAGTGGGTGTTTCATGGCTTCTTGTGAGCATGGGAAAATGTGCAGGGTCCTGTCCCTTGCGCTGTGGGGACAGCCCCTTCCCGGGTCATGGTGTGTCCTTGGCTCCAGCCATGAGGCAATGACCCGCCTGGCCGGCGTCCGGCCCGTCCTTGGCTGAGGGGGTTTGGGATGTGGCCCCCAGCACGGCTGTGCTTGGCCATTCCCTTGGGCACAGGGTGGTGGTGGGGACAAGGCATGGTGGAGGTTGTGGAGAACGCCTGTGCCCTCACTGCCCCGTGCCTCGTGCTGGCCTGCCGGGTCATGGATGCGCTGTGCCAAGCTGTGCCGAGCCATGCCGAGCCGTGATCCCTTCCAGCTGTGCCGGCCCCAGGCGGCTGACGGGGCTGCGGGATCCTCTCCCTGCCAAGTTGTTGAGGTGTCAGCCAAGAGTTAGCAGGGAAAACGCCAAGCAGCCGGCGAGCCGGCCAAGCCATCCTCCTCAGCCTTCCTCCTCCTTCCCTGCTGCAGATATCCTCCCAGCCTCCCGCTGGAGCCCTGAGCCCCCGGCCACCCCAGCAGGGCTCCCCCTTTAACACCCAGTGTGCCTTCATCCCAGCTTTGCCCCTGGGACCCCCCACTGCCGCTCCCAGGGTGTTCCCCCCATCCCGGCCCCTCCACCTGGGGTGCCTGTCCCCCTCCTCTGGGTCTGTCTGGAAAGGGACGATCCCCCCTCCCCGAACTTTCCAGCTTCTCTGCAGAGCGGGAACAATCGTAGCCTTTGTCTTCCCTTAATCTCCTGGTTAGGAATTAAAAGGGGGGAAAAAACCCAGCAGCACAAAAGGCTCTTTTGCAGGGGCTGGGAGGGGGGAAGCGCAGGGCACAGGCACAGCACAGGCAGGGGTGCAGGCAGGCCTTGCCTTCCCCCCAGCCCAGCCTGGCCACCGCTGGCTCCCCAAGGGCCACTCCACGCTGCTCCCATCCCCATGGCCCCAGAATGTTCCCACAGTGGCACCCGAGGGCTGGCGACCCTGGGAGCATCATCTGGTCCACTCAGCCCCTCAAAACGTCCTCATCCATTGGCTGTTCCAGGAGGAAGGGAGCATCTTTTGCGGCGGGGGGAACTGGACTGGGCTTGCACCCACATGGGGTCAAATGCCTCCTGCTCACTGCCATGGACCCACTTTAACACACACAGTGCCCAAACACACCCTCACCTGCCCAGCACAGGGGCTCCCTGCCACCCAAAGCCCCCCAAGAACCACGCAGGCACCACAGACCTCCATAAAATTCCTTAAATAATTTAATTGAAAAAAAGTCTTTCCGTTAAAAAATATTTTTACAAACGCACGCTCGCATTGATTTCCCTGGCTGCTGTTTTTCGCTGTTGCTTTTCTTTCAACACGGTACACAGCTTTCCCCCAGATCTGTATGGAAAGGGAGGAGGCAGGTGCAGGATGTGGAGAGCTGCTGGGTGCACCCTTGGGTGCACCCCTGGGGCTGGGGCGAGACCCGGGGCTGGCTGCAGGGATGGTGTGTCCTGCCCCATGGGAGCAGGGTGTGCATAGAGAAGGGTGTGAGAAGGAATTTGTTGTTTAAAATAAGAACTCTTCCTCCTCAAAGCAAAGCCAGGCAAGGATGGAGGGCTGAGATGGGGATGTTTGAGATGCACCAGGGCTGGTGGGACCCCAAACTTTGCAGCAGCAGGGGCTGGGGGGAAAGGGAGGCAGGGGCAGCCCCTGTGCCCCATTGTGCTTCTGCATGGGGGCTGTGGGGGCTAGCAAGCCCCAAGCAGGCTCTCATATCTCTTCAGCCACTTGTTCTTAAAAGCCCCTCAATGCCAGGTTTCTCCTGATCTGGGAGAGGGGTGAGGTCTGCCCAATGCTGCTGTTTGGGGTCCCACCACAGTAGGGCTGGGGAGCAGCCAAGGTAGGGAGCAAGCCAGGATGGGGAACCCCAGCAAAACGGGGCTGTGGTGTCCCTGTCAGCCAACATCCCAGATACATGTTGCACAGGAGACAGTGGGATGTGGGGAGACCATTCCTGCTGCAAGACCTGCTGCCACCTGCCCTCCTGGACTTGTTTACCCTGTGGAGAAGGACTGGGTTAATGAGAAACCCAAGGGCAGGCCTGTTCCAAGGAAAGGGGAAAAACAGTACCTGCCCTGTCAGCCTGGGGAGGAGGAGATCAGGGCCAAGCACTGGGGAGCATAGGGGTGCTCTCCCTCATTTTGGGGAGAGACCATTTGCCCCTCTAGACTGCCAGAAAAGCACCCCAAAAGCCACTTAGCAAGGTGTACTGCAGCTGAGGGGGACCTGAGAAACCCAGGACGAGCAACTGGGGTTCCACTTGGTTACTGTGGACAAATCTCCCCTAGACTGAGGGCATGGGTTCCCCCAGATCTGCTCTCCCAGGGGGTTACCTGCAGCTGGTCCTTTCACCCTGGTGAGCTCCCCCCTGCTCCAGAGCCATTTTGTAGAGGAGGAGCGAAGCCGTAAGTGCCAGGGGCTGCTGCAACCCTCCTGCTGAGGGCCAGAGTGCCCAGAGGGAGCAGGGGAGGAGCAGAGCCCTATGGAGAAGCCCCGGGGCTGTGGGGACCCTCTGGCATTGGATGAGCAGTGCGCATGGCTGTTTCTGCTTGGCTTTCACATTCCCCGTTTGGTTCCTGCAGTTCCAGCCTGACTTGAGGACGGTATGGGGTAAAAAAAATGCTGAGTATCTCTAGTACATTAGAGTTTCCTGACTGGCTCTGACCTGGGACTCAGAGCCTCCACTCTATGTGCCCCATGGGGTGCATGCAGCACCACAAGGTTGGTACAGCATCACTGCCTGGTCCCTGTCAGACAACCTGAAAACATGACAGCAAGAGAAAAGGAGAGCAGAAAGGGGCACACAGCCAGCTTGGGGTCAGCCAGGAGGAGGAGAAGGATGACCCTGGTGTGCAGCGAAGCTGCAGGCAGCCGGGCCCATCCAATGAGAGCGCGATCGAGCAAAGGAAACTCGGGTAAAATTCTTATTGCCTTTATTCTGCCCATTGCCTCCCACAGTCCTGCGGCCAGCACACACCCACGCACGCATGCACACACTCACGCACACTCAGGCACGCTGGGAGTCTCTCCCTCGGCTCGGAGGAACCGGGCTGCAATGAATCCTCAGGGAAAGGTGAGTGAGTCTTTTGGCAGCAATCACAGCGTGTGTCAGGAGTGGGCAGCCGCGCCGGCGGCACCTGCTCCTTCTGCATAAAAGAGGAGGCTGGGGGAGCCACGGCCCCCGGTGCAGCCCCCGCCCCAGCCCTGCTCTCCGGCCCCTCGGGGGGAGCGTGGCTGCCGTCGGTCCGGGGGCGGAGGGTCCCTGTGCAAACGTGCTGACGGCCTTGCTCTGCAGTCCAGAGCTGGCCAGGAGAACCAAGAGGGTAAGAGATGAGGAGCCGGGCACCTGGTCCCCCTTCCTCCCCTTTCTGCTCCTCTTACCTTTTTTTAATATATCTGGGTTTTTTTCCTTTTTTTTTTTTTTTTTTTTGCCTAACTCCCTGCATAGTAAATTGGGTTCGGGTTCTGGCGTGCAAAGCCAAGAAAGGGAGCGAAGCCTTCCCTTCGGACACGTTCCAGTGCAGACCCTTGGGCGGAGGGCTTGCCAGGGCTGGAGGAGAGGAGTGATTGTCTGGGGCTGGTGGCCCCAGCCCTGTCGTTGGCTCGGCCTCCCCCGGCTGCTTCTGTGTGGGGAACAGAGTTAGGGAAGGCTTTGGACGTGTCTGATGGACTCAGCGGACGGGTCAACAGTCTGTGGCCTCGGGGAGGTGAGGGAAGTGAGGACTGGGGGAAAAAACAGGGTGAAAAGAAATCCAAGAAGCAGAACAACTCTTCAAACCGATGAGCACCAAGACAGGGTGAGAAGTGGGTTGTGCCATCTCTGTCCCATAATCCATCTTCAATATGAAGATGTGTTGCTGCCTCGCCATTCCAGGACACGGGACGAAAAGCTGGGCTCCCTCTCAGCATGAGTGCCTTCGATCCAGGGAAGGGTGTCCCGTCCCATCCCATCCCAGGCGACCGTCCGAGGCAGAGGAGCGCCATGTGGAGGGGAAAACAGGAAGCTGGGCTGCACCGCAAACTGAACCTTTTTGGCAGGTTCCCTTGGTCCGTTCCAATGCAGAGTCCCCTGTGGTCAAACCTGCACTGGGAGCGTCTGGTTCATCTGCAGCCTCATGTCCTGAATGCTGCTCAGGATCTTCTTCTGGTGCCCTGCTAGCGTCACTCCTATCCTCAGCAGGTCCCTGCAAGGAAAAGATGAAGACTCAGTCCCCAGCCACCAGCAACATCAACATGTGGCCCTGCCCCACTGGTGCAAGGGGCCCATCCATCATTACAGCCCTCTGCCAAGTTCCAGTGCTCCCTCTAACACCAGAGGGGACTGGATGCTGAATCTCAGTCCTTAATTCAGCCCACCACGCACGCAGGTGGGAGGAGATGGCTGTCAGACAGACAAGGGACAGTGTGCAGCAGCCCTAGTCCCAGTCTTCTCCCTCCTCCCTTCCAAGCAGGGACTTACTCCGCAGTCATCTGTGCCACCAGGTCAAAGGAGGCAAACCCAGCATTGACAAAATTCTCCTTGTACCGTCCCATTTTGATGGCATCCAGCCAGTCTCCCACGGTGGTGAAGGTGGTGTAATCCGGGACAGTGCGGTCCAGGAGCGGTTGGGAGATGCTAAAGGGCAAAAGAGCCACAGTCACAGGGAGCAGGGGATGGAGAGGTGTAACTGGAAGGAAGGGACATTTCTTATCCCCGCCCTCCCACAGCTTTACTCCCAACCACCCCAGTGTTCCCTGGAATTGCAGTAAATGCTGTCTGGAAACAAGGATGTCACTGACCCAGACTGGACGCTGGCGATGACCTTAAGGCTGGCAGCATTGCGGATGAGCTTGTCCAGCGTGTTGACGATCTGTGCAAATTTGGGCCTTAGGTTGCGGTCCCGCACCCAGCAGTCCAGCATCAGCTGGTGCAGTGCAGTGGGGCAGTCCATGGGGGGTGGCAGGCGGTAATCCTGCTCCACGGCATTGATCACCTGCAGAGAGACAGGCAGAGGTGTGTTATGAGCCACCTGGGCTCCCACAGGCAGCCTACAGCTCCCAGTTCCCCACCCTCCAGAGAGCACTTACATCCTGGTTGGACATGTCCCAGTAAGGTCGCTCCCCATAGGACATCACTTCCCACATGACGATGCCGTAGCTCCACACATCGCTGGCTGAAGTGAATTTGCGGTAGGCGATGGCCTCAGGAGCTGTCCATCTGATTGGGATCTTGCCCCCCTGCATGGATACACAGCTCCATGATTTAGTGCATACCTGAGGTGTCTCCCCCTACCCCCAGATCAATGATCCCTCGTGAGTGTCCCATACCAGGGAGCTGGTGTAGGTAGGGTCAGCTGGGTCATCCTCCAGAAAGCGAGAGAGCCCGAAGTCAGACACTTTGCACACCAAGTTGCTGTTGACCAGGATGTTGCGGGCAGCCAGATCCCGATGCACATAGTTCATCTCCGAAAGGTACTTCATGCCAGCGGCGATGCCTCGCATCATTCCCACCAGCTGGATGACTGTGAACTGCCCATCATTCAACTGCCAGAGGAAAGATCAGAGGGATTTGCAACACCCTGAACAGATTGAGGAAGGATCCCAACGTGCAACCATCACCTTCATCCTCCCCAGGGCCACCCCTCTTCTCCCACTCATGATGTCTGTGAAGAGCTTAACCCTGGGGACACCAGTATGACAATGTAGAGATGGAGAAGGGCTCAGAACTGCTGCCCTCCATGCACTGCAGCTCCCAGCCCAGGGCAGAAAGGGATGGATGCTCACCCGGAGGAAGGAGTCAAGCGCACAGTTCTCCATGAATTCTGTGATGATCATGACAGGACGGCTCTTGGTCACCACCCCCTCCAGGTGGATGATGTTGGGGTGGTCGAACTGGCCCATGATGCTGGCCTCACTCAGGAAGTCCCGCCGCTGCCGCTCCGTGTAGCCCACCTTCAGTGTCTTGATGGCCACGAAGATCTCGCGGCGGCCAGGCAGCTTCAGGCGTCCACGGCACACCTCCCCAAACTCCCCTGTAGTGGGAAGGAGAAAGGTGAGCCACAGGACAGGGTGAGAGGCAGCACCTGCTGTGCCCAGTCCCAGGACTTGCCTGCTCCAATGACCTCTTCAATCTTCACACAGGAGATGTCAATCTCTTTGGCGAATTCCCGGACAGCTTCGTTTGGGTCCTCATAGGTGAAGGGGTCAATGTATACCTTCATCCCAGGGGTAACTGCAAGGGCAGAAGTCATCACCAGGATGGAACACAGCAAGGATGACAAATGTCAAGCTGCTTGGCTGGCTGTCAGCCCACCCCTTGTTAGCAAAGGCTGCCCCTTTGCATGGGACAGGAATTGGGAGAGGACAGGCAGAGTCCATTTGCTGGGCTCTCACACTCACCATATTGCTGCAGCTTCTCTGTGTACTCAGGGTCGGTGTTGTTGCGCTGCTTCCTGCCCAAAGGAGACGAGAGGAGGTGTTCAGTAACCATCCCTTTCCTGATGGGGCAAAGACATTCACTGCCAACTTCCAAATCCCAGCACAGACAGCCTATGCCAGAGAGCCTTCCCTCTGGCAGCCTGTGAGCAGAGCCATCCCTCCACCCGAGGTGCAATGGGAGGAGATGGCCTAGTTGTGCTGAGTGCATGGCAGGAGCCTGGGCAGAGCCCAGCTCGTGCCAGGGAAACAGAGGCACAATCCTCCCACAGGACCCATGCTCTGGGACCCAAGTGTGGCTGATCCAGCCCTTCACTCTGTGACTGGAGCTGCCAGAGCTCTGCCCATAGGTAAGGGGGAAAGCTCTGTGGCAGACATGAGCAACCCCCAAACCCAGATTTGAAGCCCTCTGCCCTGAAAAGCCAGTACCTGAAGCAGACGATAGCAATCACTACCACCACGATGATGAACACCAGCCCTGCCGTGGCCGAACCCACGATCAGAGGCAGTTCCTGGAAAGTCTTGCTGGTGGAACCTGATGGAGGAACAGGTAGGAATCAAAGTCAAGCCAGGAAAGGAACACACACAAGGAGGCCTGGGCGATGGAGGCAGCCCAGTTCTGGTACCTACCGCCCTCAGCAGTTGTCTGAAACTCCGTGGGGAGGCTGTAGCGGCCGTATCCCGCCACGGTGCGTGCCCGGACCTGCACCATGTACCGAGCATTGGCCTTCAGCCCGTCCAGCCGCACCGAGTTCTTCTGGCTGGTGACTGTGTTGGCGATGCCATCACTCTGGCCTTGCTGTAGGGGAGACGTGGGTGTCACCTTTGTGAAGCCACCCTCCATTTGCTGGCTCCCACATCCCCCAAGCACCAAGTCTGCAGGGACCCCCTATACCATGGTGCAGATGGCCAGCTAGAAGGGCTGGAGGAGGGAGAAGGCTGTTCCTGCTTTACCTTCTCTGAGTACTTGATCTCATAGTCCAGAATGATGCCGTTGGGTCTCTCTGGGGGAGTCCAAGACAGCGTCATGCTGTTCCCGGTGCTGCTGTGCAGGTGCATCGTTGGCACGGCAGACGGAGCTAGGAAGGAGAGCAGGGAAGGAATGAGCTACCTGTGCCAGGTTTCCCCCTCCACCACCCCACACAGTGTAGGGGATGCTCTGCCTGTGATCTGCTTGGATAATCTTGGTGGAAAGGCATGGAAAAGCTTTGAGACTGGCCTCCCCCAAAGTCTCTATAAGGAGGTATAATCTCAACACCAAGAGGAGCCTCAAAAATAACACTGAGGTCATGCTTCACCCCATGTCTAACTGCAAACTGGTCTAGGGAAGGGCCCTACCAGCCCAAACTGGGGCTCCCTCCCCTCCTCCACTCACCAGGAGCTCTGTGCTCCACCCCAGCAGCAAGACCCGTGAAATCAGATCAGAGCGCAGTGGTTGGAGATTACCAGTACGCTGGAGCAGGGCCAGAGTGGGAGGAAGGAGGGAATGGCAGAGCACTTGGCTGCCTGCAAAGGCTTGGGCTGGTGCTGAGCCTTCCCAGGCACACAGGAGAGAAATCTCATTTCCTTCCTCCTCCCCTCGCAGCAGGCACATCATCTCTGGGGTAGGTCTAGGAGATCCAGAGCTCTCTGGAGCATTTGCCAGCCCTAGTCTTCTCCACTTGCATGCATTCTGATCTCATCTCCTCTAGGGACATGCTTTAAACAGAGAGGACAGTTTACCCAGGGGATTAGATGCAGGCCCAGGGAGCTGGTTAGGCGGCACCACAAAGGACTGCAGCCTCCCAGGCTGTCAGAAAGAAATCTCTGCTCCGCTCCACTCTGCGGAGGAGATACAGCCCCTGCTCCCTGGTGGCTGCACTGACCTGCCTGGTTGGTGGTGATGTTGACAGAGGCAAAATGGGGAGGGTAGGGACTCTTGCTGGAGATGCCGTTCACAGCCTGAATCTCGAAGGTGTACTGGGTGTGGGCCATCAGGTTGCTGATGTAGATGCGTCGCTCAGTGAGGCCGAGCTGGCGCGGCACGAACTCCACGTTGTCGTCGCAGCGGGTGCACAGGCGCCGCTCCACGCTGCACTTCTTGCAGATGACGTTGTAGAGCAGGTCATCCCGCCCGCCCGTGTCCTGCGGCTCGCTCCACTCCAGCACCAGCGACGTCTCGTTCACGTTGGAGATGACATTGCGGGGCGCTGAGGGGACACCTGCAGGGAAGTGTGAGGGGCAGGGGTGGTGTCTTCATGTCCAACTCACCCCTGGCATGGGCACGGCACATATCCCCATCCCAGACAGAGGATCCCCATCACCTCCACAGCTTCCCTTGCCTCCCCTCCTTGCCCAGAGCAGGACTCACTGGTGCAGGCGCTGTCTGCGGGGTCCGTGTCTGCCCGGAAAAAGCCGTTTCGACAAGTGCAGACCATTGCTGCTCCAGAGGTGGTCCGGCTATTGGGAGGGCAGGGAGAGCAGGGACCTTCCCCCTGCTTAGACTTGAAGGTTCCTGGGCCGCATGCTGGAGGAAAGAAAAACAGACCTGAGTTATAAAGTGAAAGTGAACCCAAAAAACATTCACTGCTCCCACCACAGCTGGGCACCTCGCTGCCCTGCCAAATCTTTGATCAGCAGCTTGAAGACCTCAGGCTTCCTATGGGCCTTCCCACCACCATCAGCCATGCCCAGTGACGCATGGCTGGGAAGGGTGAGAAGAGTGGGCTGCTGGAAGCACCACATGGCTCAGGCACAGCTCTGTCAGGAAATGCTGTGCTCCAGCTGCAGGGCTGGAGGTAATTGGAGGTGGGATGAGTTGGTCACCACCAGCAGTATGAGGGGACAGGGCGGGTCCATCCAGGAGCTCCATTCCTCAGTTCTGTTTCTTCACTGCCCTTTTGAAGGGTATTACCATGCTTCCTTCCATGAAGAATGGCCATGCTCGTTTCCAGGCCTGGCAACCTTCACAGTGCCAGGTCCATCCTCTGGGGAAGTAAGGCTGGGAAAACAAAAATTCCTCAGCCCTGTCTGCAGCAGCCCCTGCGAGAGGCCTCCATCACCCAAAATCAGCCACTCAGCCCCAAACCTTCCGCCTCAGGCTCTTGAGCCACTTCTCAGTCCCGGGGCGGCGGCACCTCATGAGGTTGACTCAAGTGGAGCGCTGAGCAAGATGAAAACATTCCTGCAGGTCCTTGGCTGAAGAGCTGCTTCAGCATCACTGCCACCTCCCTCCTCCACTTCCGATCAGGGTCCTCCAAGGAGCCACAAGTCCTGGGATACCGCCCGATTGGCACCACAAGGTGTTTATTTGTAATGAGGGGCACGTGAAAGGATTAACAGCACTTGAGCCAAGGAGCAGAGCGTCCTTGGGAACCTGACCCACACCTCAAAATAGCCCAGTTTATCACATTGCTGCCCAAGGAAGCAGATTCTGTGCTCTGTGTTTGCAGCTGGATGAGGTGAGTGCTCTGTGTTTGCAGCTGGATGAGGTGAGAGACCCACTGGCGCCGGCTGTGCTTTGGCATCACCCTGTTTGCCACAGCTGGGGCAGCATCAGCACCGATGGCCCCAAAGGAGGGCACATCCTCCTCACTCCACCACGTTAGAGAAGCTCCGACGGCACGTAACCCTCCCACCTCCCACGCCTGTCACACATCACAGTGAAAACAGGGGGATGTTTCCTGGTGCTTCACCAGGCTATGGCAAGTGGAAGTTTCCTGCTATGAGGCATCTCCCGACACCCTCTGTGGAAGTTTTCCGGCTGGTTGCAGCCCCACACGGGGCGTGGAGTGCTGTGAGTCACACGCTGCCAGGCCGGCCCCACAGGGACCCGCACACAGCTCCAGGTGCTGTCTTGGGTCTCTGGTTTGTCCAAGCACCAGGAACCTCAAGGAAGAAGCTCTGCTCCAGTGCAGTGCTGCTGGCCAGGGGAACGTGAGAGCAGCCCCTCGCAGAGACAACTGCCTGCTCTCCAGCCCCTCTGCCTGGACGGGTGTCAGGAGCTGCTTCCTGCTCCCAGGGTGCGAGCCTTCCGGCAATCAGACTCTTCTTTGGTCAAAACAGGACTGACTACATGGCTCAACTGACTCCAGCTCCTTGACCTGAGTTCACCCAGCCTCTGGGCCTTCCCATTGGAAAGGAAAGCTTTGCCCATCCCGACTGTGCAGGCTGGAAGGCAAAGGAGTGCACAGATCTACTCCTTGGCAAGCAATGGGAAGCCAGCAGGTCTAGGGCTTTTATCTTCCCAGCCTGGGACAATCGGGCCACCAGAAAATGTGTCTTTACGTGGACAGCAGAAGCCCAGAGGTTGCAGAGCAGCCTTGGCACAGGCAGACCCACCCCGGCTGGAGTCCCGGGCGGTTCAAACTGGGTGGATGCAGATTCACACATAAGGAACCAGATTGTTGAGGAATGAGAGATGACTGAAACCTCTTGGACAGGAATGCTCTGGGCTCAGAAAGCTGCCAAACATGCTTTGGTTATGGAGAGGAGCCCAGATCCATCAGGGACAAAACCCCCTGAACAGGCTTGTTGGGGGGAGAGTGAAGCCTGAGCAAGCAGAGCTTGTGTGAAGGTGACAGCCCAAGCATGGCATGGCAACCGAGGACAGCCAGGTGCTTGCAAAGGATGCAGGAGGGATGAGGGCACTTGGTCTCCCACACACGAGGTGCCAGCTGGTGCCCAGTGGGTTATGGGCACAGAGGTGATCATGGCCTCCCAGACACCGGAGGAAGGGACAGGCAGAGTTGTCCTTCAGCTGCTGCCTGCCATCCCTAAGTAGTGCCCAGTGCAGGCACAAGGGGATGGAGGCTTTTTCCTTGCATCCTCATGCCACCCTGGCAGGAGGGGGATGAGCCATGAACCAGCTCTGTTAAGGAGGGGAAGAGCAGCAGAGGGACTGAGGCCCAGATGCACTCCAGTGTTTAAGTTTCCAACTCTGCTTAATAAATCAGAGCATAAAGACCTCGGTGGCAGCGTGACAGCTCTCAGCCGCCACATTTGAAGGCTGTAACCGAGCTGAAAGCTGATCCCAGGTCCCTGGTGGATAAGCCGCTGTGTCATCTCTTCTCTGCAAGAAACTGCCTGTACAACAACCACTGTCTTGGCCGGCACGCTGTGGAACGAGCCTGGGAGCTCTGGAGTGGGAACGTGACTCCATCCAGCCGGAGCTGGGAAGCCAGGCTCCCTTCTCCCTGCCGAGAGCTTTGCATAAGCACTTTTCCTGCTGAAGTGTCCTCAAATAAAATAACAACTCTGAACCTCTGCACACAGATCACATCTCCTGGTGCTGTGTTGCGGTCACTTCTGGGGAGAACATGACAGTCAGTGACAGCCACAGGATAACAGGTCAGGGAACCGAAGCGGAGCTCCCTGGTCTGAAGAAGAGCTGATGGGAGGGAGAGGCAGTCTGGCCTGACAGCAGGGATCAGCCACAGAGGGGATTTGTGTGGGGTGTGGGAGGGAGTAGGACAGTAACAGAGCCCTGCTGTAAAGCTGCCCTGAACCCTCCATGGGGCATGGCACACCCGGCATGGCACACCCGGCCATCCGGCTGCTTCTGGCAGCCCCTCCAGGATTTTCATCCGCTGCCCACCTCCAGGGCCTGATCCTGTCTCAAAGAGCTGCAGCACAGAGCTGGGGAAGAGGAGGGTACTATTCCCAAATACAATCCCCACCCTGGTGAATAAAGTTCAAGGAAGGGAGCTGAAAAAAACACCGAAATAAAACCCTTCTGGCAGCAGCAGAGAGCAATGACTCATCCCATAGGCAGCCTCCATTATTGCATGGGATGCAGGCAAGCAGAAATGAACCACACATGCAGCTCCAAAACTTTGGGGTCCCCCTCCCTTGGGGAAGGCAGGGATAGCTGTGACACATTGGGAAAGAACAGCCCCAAACTACCATGTTTCATGTTTCGACTGTTTTCCATTCACACTACAATATTCCAGCATCCTTCCAGCTATTTCTCTCCCTGTAGGACTGAAGCAGGATGCCTCGCCTGAACCTAGATAAATTAAACTGATCATATCCCTTTGCCCATCAACCCTGTAATTTCTTTAGAGGCAGCAGTCAGGTTTGTTCAGGACGATCTGTGCTTTATGAACCTGCACAGCTCGCTCCCTTCTCGCTGTCGTAAGTGGCTACAGATGGAGCAGAGCTGTGGAAGCAACAGCCTGGCTACAGCTGAGGCGGTAACTCTGTTTTTAAGTCTCTCTTAAAAGACAGTTATTTAAAAAAAAAGTAAAATAATCACCCTTTGGGTGAAAATATTTCGCACTAGCGCAGTCCAAAAGTGAATGGAGTAAATCTGAAGGGAGAGAAGGGAAAGAGCCCTTGGGGGTTTGAAGTGGCATCCAAGGAAAAGGCAGGAAAACAATTTTTTTCCTTTTTTTTTTTAAGAAAAGAAAAAAAAATTCAATAAGCAAAGCTGCCTCTTGAGCCACAGCGGGTCACAGGCAGGACGGCAGGGGCAGATTTCCTCGACTGTGTTACAAGTAACCCATTGTGGAGCTGCCTGGCTGTAAACCGGCAGCTCTCCCTGCCTTCCCTGCTGCTGCCTTTGATCTGGAATCCCGGGCAATTAATCCCAGGCAGTTTCACTTCCTGGGTTTCATGCAGCAAGCCCATGTTGCAATGCAAAGCTGCAAACAGTTGGCAAGTGCAATGCTTGCTTGGCAATTTTTTTTTTATTTAATTCAGGGTGATGTTTTCATTAGTCACTGATTGCAAGGGAATTTTATTTTTGCAAAAGTTCTGATTTTGGCCCCAGCCTGACCTGCACTCACCTACTGATTGTGCCCAAATGTTCAGTGCCTGGTGCCACAAGGAAAGAAACATCAAGAAGACTGAGAAATAGGTCTCAGGAAGGTGTGGTGTCATGCTGGATGCTATCATCTCCAATGCTCCTAGCTCCTATGGTTTGGGTGTCCATGGACTGTGCCACACTGACTCAGTTTCCCTCCTAAGCGGGCTGCAGGCTCTGGGGGCATTGTGGTCCTCCTCCAGGGCTCCCCCATGAGCAGAGGGGACATGCAAGGAGGGGGCTCACTGCCCACCCTGGCACAGCAGCCTTTCTGTCTTTGTGTGAAGCCAACAACACAAGGGGTGCAAATCCCAACAATCCATCATGGAGCACATGCCCAGGAGCATTTCTGGGGAGCCCCTTGACACCAAATCCCCTGAACAGTTTGGGTGCCTCCTAACCAAAAGGAGAAGGGATGGGGCTGGGGGAAAGACTAAACCCCAGGGGCTGCAGGGCTTGGGGTGTGAAGGCAGTGCACCCCAGCCCATGGAGGCATGTGGGAGCCTTTGCCCCCCTCCCTGGCCAGCAGCTCCTCCTTGTCCTCCAAGAGCTTCCTCTGCAGCTCTGCATGGTAGGGAGTGTGTGGGAAGCGGCACAACCCCCAGAAGGGCCATGTGCTAATTAAATAAAGATAATGAGGCTGAGAATGAGATGCCAAATCAATGCTGTGGCAATTCAGGAGTAGAGCGCCAGGTACCAGCCTGGCGTATCGCCTTACAAAGCATGCCAAAGAAACTGTCTTCAGTCAGGCAGGATGAGCCCTCTGCTCCCGAGGGACCGGGATACAAGCTGCATTGTAACAGGTCTGAATGCGAGCTCTAATCTTGGCTCTGGATGGAGATAAAGAGGAGGAGGAGGAGGAGGTCTTCAAAGGCCACTGAAAGTCTGGGAAAAGGGGGAGATTTACAACAGGGCTTATCCCATCTAAGCAGTAACTGGGTATTGTTATTTATTAAAATGCCATCTGGCACTCTGGAGCGCTGCTCGCCTGCACGGTGCAGCCCCTGTGAGCTCCCTGGGGCGGGAGTGATGAGACCCCGGCTTTGGGGGGCTGCATCCACACTGCTGACATGACATGCGCTCAGGGACTTCTTGGTGGTGCTGGACTGTGGAAATGGGGCAAGTGAACATCCAGGCAAGAGGAGAAAAGGAGCTACAGCTACAGCTCCGGCTTCTCCCAGCCCTTCTTCAGCTGTTTCCACTTAAAACACACGATCATATGGCGGAAAATCTGATCCTACAAGCGTAGCGCAACTTTCCCAGAGAAACGTGAGGACACCGCCGCTTCTGCCTAGCAAGAAGGTAGGCTGCCGGATGGAGACGTGCCCATGGCCCAGCGTGGCTTCCCTGCCTGCTGCAGCAGAAGCCGGGGCTTGGTGGGAAATCAAAGGCGCTGGGAAAACTGCCACATGGGGGTCTGTCCAGCTCAGGGATGTGGAGATGGAACCTTGCCCCAGGCTCCTGAGCCTAATCTGAGGAGCTCTGTCCTGCCTTGGGATGCCTCCTCTCAGCAAAGTCCTGGTACTGGCTGGTAACTGTGTCACCTTGTGTCCAAACCCCACTCTGTTGGGAAAGAGCCAACATTGTGCATGGTCTAAGATCTCCCAGTCCAAGCAAGAAGGAAAGCAGCTCCCCAGGATCATGGACCTCAGTGCAGTTTGAAGTGCAGATGGATGCCTGGCACTGGTGTCCATCTGCTCAAGAGGAGCCAGACTGGCTGCTCACAAGACTGATGCAGGGTGCCATGGCACTGATGAGCTGTGCTGGCACTGATGGTGCTGGAGGCTCTGGAACTCGGCAGAGCTGCGGCCCTGTGGAGACTGACCTCTCCCTAACTAGGCACAGCAGCATGGCTGTCAGCTGCTCCCAAAGCCAACGGGGCGGCCAGCCTGACCCGAGCCCCACGTCACAGGCCATCCCAAATCATATGGCCCCTGCCAAGAGCAAAGGGCCGGCGCCAAGCATCCCGTCATCGGCGAGCACAAGGCATCCAGTGCTGGGGGCCCAGCCAGCATCCCACTCCCTGTACAATGCCTGCAGCCAAGAGGAACGGCAACCTTTCTGCCCTAAACCCCAGCCACCCCCGGGCAGGGTCCTGCTTGCCAGAGACAGCTCCCAAGAAAAAAATCACCCCAAGGGAGTGCAACATTCATCCAGACAGATTTTTCCTTATCAACACACCCGAACTGGGGTTAAACAGCAACCCCAAAGCTATCGTGGGAGAACATGGCAGCTGCAGGACCCACACAGAGCTATCCTGCTGCTAGGGTGGCTCTCCATCCCCAGTATTTCCATTTGCACAATATGCTTCCTTCCCTTCCAGCAAGAACAAGGAGCTTCAGATCCCCTGCCTTTGTGCTGGTCCCTACCATCCCTGCTGCAAGCTTCCAGCACTGGGGAACATGCATCAGCAGGGGGAACATGCATCAGCATGGCTTCTCCCACAGTGGAGCCCTGCTCACCACCAGGGCTTCCGAGTGCCTCCGCACAAGCAGCGTGAAATCACACTTGCCAAGAACAATTCCTCGCCCCAGCCATGAGCACTGCAGGAGGGAAAGAGGGAAGATGCTGGATACAGCAGCAGTGATGAGAGAACTTGGTAATTCTCAAGGGCTTAAATGTGCTGGATCCCTGCTGACGACCATGCCTTGAGCTGCAGCTCCGTTCAAGGAGATGCATCCCACAGAGGGTAGCACTGGTGGTTGCTCACCAGTGTGTCCCAGCAGACACTGCATGAGTCCAGACCACTAAGGTTTTAAGGTTTTGGAGTCAAACTGTAGACCAGACCTCTGAGATATCACCCTCCTCACTCATCAGGGAAAAGCCTCCAAAACCAGACTGAGCTCAACACAAAACCACCTCCTTCACATCAACGTATCCATGGGGGCAAAAGCCACGATCGCTCTGCCATGCACATACCTTGGCACTGGGTATCCTTCATGGTGGGCTCATATCCAGCAGCACACGTACACGCTCCCACAGGTACCATCCACTCGCCATCGCCGTTGCAGTACAGCTTTAGGGGCACAGACACCTCCACTGCATTGGGGATGCAGGTGCCTGGTGCGATGACCAGGGAGGTGGGCTCAGCCCCCGTTAAAGTCTCCGGGAAGACAGCAAAGCCAGCAATGGTGTTGGAGCATTTCTTGTAGAAAGCCCGGACAGAGATGAGGGACATGCAGGCTCCCAGGTCTTGGAAGGCAAGGTAAAAACCATTCTTGGAGAGAGGGCCAAAGCTGCGCACCTTGGTGTTCACGCGGCCAGACTCCAGCTTGGAGAAGCTCTCATCTGGGGCAATTGTATCCACTTTGATATAGGGGTTCTCCATCCAGAAAGGGCTGTTTGCAGAGGCAGAATCCGTATCTGACTCATAATAGAAGAGGTTGAAGGTCTCTTTGCAGGAGCCAGGGATGTTGGGGATGCTGTTGCAGTCCCGCACAGTGAACTTCAGCTCCACATAGACACGCTGGACATCTTGGCGCTGGATGAATTTGGTACGAAGCCAGTTGTTCTGGTTGGCCTCCCGTACGTTGCAGACCTGGTACGTGCGGATAGGGTTCATGGCCTCGTCATAACCACTGACTTCTTCCCACTGTGATTGAGAGGGAAAGGGTTAGATCCCCAGCCAGGGACATCATTGCCACGGACACATTGTGAATGGCACAGGGGCGGGGGGAACAGGCACCAGTCAACAGGGAAGAGCAGCAGCTGCACCTCCACCCGTCACAACCCTCCTGGTCATCAAGGTGACTAAGAGTAACCCAGGCCAGGGACCATGGCACTCCCATCCACTGGCATGGAGATTGTTTCATGAGGCAAGGATATGTACAGAAGGGAAGGAGAAAGATGCAGCCAGCTTCACAAAGGCACTGGTGAGCAACCATGATTCCCATGGGGCCAGGGCCAGCTCTGCCCTTTGGAGGTTAGGACCAGGGCTGGTTCAAAACTTACCCCTGTCTCCGGATGAGTTGTCCATGACAACTCAGAGGTCACCCACTTCGTGTCCATCAGGGTCTCTAGAGAGAAAGGAAGGAGAGAAAGAAGTAATTGTAGATGAAGGCCAAGATTAGAGGGGAAAAAAACCAGGAGGAGTGGGGGAGAGGAGAGCTGAGCCTGACATTTCTGTGGAAAACAGCAACTTGGGGGGTGAGACATGGTGGGAGGAGGGGGGAGCGGCGCAGACAGACTCCAGATTTCTCTTCTCCTGTCAAGAGAACAGGAAGAGCGAGGCGTCCCTCGAGAGCTGTGCTGGAGCAGGCAAGCAGCAGGACGAAGAGCTGGCCAGGTGGCAAGGGGGAGATGGGGACAGGCTGCCATCCCCAGCCACTAGCACAGCCAAACGTGCCCCCCAGGCAGTGCAGGGGGTGCCAAAGGAGGAAGACGGGGCGCCCCTGTCCGCACACTCCCCCTCTGCTTTGGCAGGGCGCGTATTTACTGTGGCTGGGGTTGAAAGGGCCTGTTCCCATGACAGGGTGGTGCGGGCCAGGCAGGTTTATCCAGAGGAGGAGGGACTGGCAGGCTGCTCTCCCAGAGACGCCCCACATCACTCATTTTACAAGAGGGGAGAAGAATTTGACCGTCTGGCCAACATTCCTGGAGCAGACTACAAGACAAACCACCCCGGCAGCATTCCCCAAACAGCCCCAGCCCCAGCCTTGGGGGAGCGAGACGCTTGTCTGGGAAGAGCTGCAATTGCAGGCAGCTGTCGCTAATCCCAGGCAGAGCCGCGTGGCTCCGCGAGAGCACCACGCACAAAAACCAGGAGTGAAACACAAGGATGAGAGCAAACCAACATGCTCAGGGGCCAATGGCCCCTCTGTGAGCTGCTGGCCCTGTGAGCCCTGCTCCAGGGATGGCCCTTCGGCTGTTTGGAGGGGAACAGGCACCCTGGCATCCTCTGGACCTTCTTCTGCCTAGGTGGGGTTTGGAAGAAAAGGGGTGCAGATGCCTGGAGATCCTGGTGTGCTCAGGGGGGCTTTGCTGCCTGCACTGAGCAGGACCCAGGACCAGCAACAAAACACCTCCCTGATGAGGGCCTGTCCCTCCCCAGCTGCAAATATGGCCCCATCCCAAACCTTATGCAGCTCCCCAAGGACATCCATCTGTCCACTTCTCAGCCCACCCGGGCTCAAGACTAAGGGCAGGGAGCCATGGCTCTCCTAGTCCCAGCAGCGGGCTGGGAACTGCTCACTCTCGCCAGCTGGGGCACAAGGACGTGCCAGGGCAGCTGAGTTGTACCAGCACCATGGCTCAGCACCACAGCAAGAGGCAGTTTCAGCTTCTTTCCTTCCACCCCAGGAAAACCCCAGGCTGACCCAGCCAGGGAGGAAGTGTGGAGGAGGAAGGAAGCATTCACGCATTGCAGGGTTTCGGATGAAGCCTGACTGAAGGTAAACACCTTCTTCCCGCGTCCCACCCTGGGGAGACCCGCCAGCAGCTCCCAGGCCAGCACCCACAGGCAGGCTGGGAGCACAGGCTGTGGGTGCCACTGTGGCACAGATAAACAAGCACATTTGAGGACACGTGGGCTCTCTGACCTGCCTCGTGGCTCGCCAGGTTCCCAGCTGGGCCAGCACGCCAGCTTCTTGCCCAAGCTGTTTGCCTAAAGCAAGCACACAGTCCCACTGTGGGCTGGTGGCACTAGCAGTGGACATGGCACTGAAGACACAGAGAGGAAAACCTCTCATGGTGCCACCTCCCCATCGGGAGAGATGCAGAGGGGCAGCATCTACAACAGACACCAGTGCAGAGATGGTTACTGGGCAGTGGTTATTTGCTGTTTCTCAAGAACACAAACTAGGGGCATCTGGCAAAAACATATGGAGAGAAAAAAGAATTCCTCTGTCACACAGGTAATGCAGGAGGGGTGGGACACAGGATGGGCATTGTGCACCTATAAGGCAGCCTCTGCTTGGTCCCATGGCAGTACCTGCCCAGGGAACACAGCAAGTCGCTCTTTCCCTTCCCATTTCCCACACCATCACTTCCTGAACTCCGGCGGGATCCCAAGCACAGCTCTGCACAACCACAAGAGCAGTCACTGGAGATGCTGCTGTGCTTCCAGACCCCTGTATGGGGTAGCTGCCAGGGCACGCAGGCAGTGCCAGATGACAGGGGAGCAGGTTCCAGAAGGGGGCTGCCCACACCTCTGTGAGGGACAGGCCCTGCACTGGCTGCCCTAATAAGGGCACAGTGGTGCTGTGAAGGCCCAGACACGCCGTGCTGGCGGTGAGCAGAGCCAAGCGTGTGCTCAGCGTTCACAGTGCGGGGCTGCCAACTCCCGGTGCAGATACTCTGTGCAGGTCCAGCCAGTGCAGGGCCCTGCTGCCAGCATGGCCAGCTGGGGGTGTTTCTGCAGGAGAAGCGGGGAAGGGATGCCCTGTGTTCTCAGGGCTGGGGCTGCTGATGGATGAGCGGCTGTGGCGGTGAGTCAGGCTGGGGAGATGGGGATCTGGGTGGCAGGGTGTGCCCGCAAATAGAGCGACACAAGGATGCTGTGGCAAGCCACAGCATAGCTTGGACTGACCGGACCACAGTGGGTGTTTGCTTCCCAAACCTGTCCAGGGTATGCGGGAACTCTCCTGCACAGCAGCAGGCCCCATGCAGGAAGCCCTTGCCATGGCAGTTGTCCCCTCCGGCAGCGTCCTTCTCCTCGAGTGCTGGCCGTGGGCAGAACCTCAGCTTGGACAGGAGGCCTGCTGCCTGCATCCTAATTTGGCAGCATCTGCCATCTGACCAGCAGAGGAGAAAAAAAACTGACAGGGCCAAGCTGGCTGTTGGCGTGAGAGCCACGTAAACCACACAGAGAGAGTGGGGAGGGGAAATAATAATAATAAAAAAAAAAAAAAATCACTGAGCAACTCAGCTAAAGGAAACAGGCTGAGCACAGAGGGCAGAGGGGGTTTCCTGCAGCCACGGGAGTCATCCATGCGAGGTCAGTGGAGCCTCCCAGACCCTTGCAGCCTTCCATTGTGAAGGTCATGGGTGGAAGGTTCTGTGGGCTTCTATGCTGTGTGGTCTAGGTGCTGGTGACACACATGCTGAGCTGAGTTGCAGAAACAGCTCTCAGCCCTTAAATGTGCCACAGAGCTCTCACAGTGGTCTGGCCCTGAACCTGGTCTTCTCTCCCAAAACCAATGGGGCACACCACGCACTGGCCCTCCATGAAAGGGCATGTGAGAGTGTCCTGGGCTGGGGAGCCCAAGCACTGGGCTTCAGTGGTTCAGGATCAAGCAGCCACTCTCTCCCTCTGGCCCATGGTGCCAGAGGCGGGTTGAGAGGTGTCACTGGTGATTTCCCGGCGCGGTTCAGGTTTACAGGTGCTGTGGAGGGACGTGAACGGCGTCAGGGCTGGCTGAACAGTGAGTCAAAGCCACTTCAATCCCGCACACCACAGCAAGAGCCTGGTCCCATTAGTCAACGGGAAATTGGCTCCCAATTTCGCCAGCTTGGGGAAGTCACCCTAAGGCTTGCTTTATCACTGTCTGCAGCTCTGGGAGTTGTCCTCTCCTTACCTTCAGCTGGGCAAAAGCAAGGGATGGAGCAGGAGCCTCGCTATGCTCAGCAAGTGCAGCTGGCCAGAGTTGACTCCACACAGAAGCTGGAGTTCCATGGCAGAGTGGGACCTCAGAACAGGGAAGATTCTTACTCCTTGGACAGGGCTGTGAGCATCATTCTGGCTGTCTCCTCCCTTCCCTGCATTTCTCCTTCCAAGCACACCCTGAGCTTCAAAGACGAGCATTCCCCTACCAGCAGCCCTCCCATCACCTCCACAGAGTCCCCAGCAGTTCACTAGGTGTTTGAAGCCCTGGCAAGGACCCATCTGGAGCCGGGGACCTCTTTCTCCCAGTGCTGAGGCGCAGGAATGCAGCATGCATGGTCTGAGGCCAGTGAAAACGTTTGAACTCCCCCCTTAAGAGGCCCAGAGAGCCCGTCTCGCGCTGTTGAGCGGCAGACGCGCGCGGCAGTGATGGCTGAGCCAGAAAAGGGGGGGAAATATCAAAATTCTTTCAAGATGAAGCCACTGGGGAAGACTCAATCGTCTCCACCAATAAGCTCCACTTTGAACACTCTCTCCTTTGAATACATGGACTGATGGCTTTTATCAGGATACACTGGCAATATAGGATGCCAACTCTTTTCCCCGATGAGAAGGCAGCTCATGCAAGTCCAGAGCATCCTGGAAGAAGGCAAGGGAGAAAAGTTAGTAAAGACACCCACGCAGCCTCGCTGCAAACAGAGGAACCTGTTCTGCAACGTGCCCATGCTCTCCATAAGCTATGCACACCATGGCACCATGTCTGCATGAGCTCAGAATGGGGCAAGTGGCCCAGACCAAATTTATGTGGCCACTTGCCCCACACTGAGCTCCTGCAGACACCATCAATGGTCATTTGCTCCAGGACATGGCTTAGCTTCCACCATAGTGGCTGCTAACAGTGGTGCCAGGTGCCTCTTCCTCTCACTGCCATGCTTTTTAATTCTGGAAGGAAAGCTACCTTGTTTAGAGATGCGCTTCTAATTTTGGAGACTGCCTGCTAGTCAAAAAGCCACCAAAAGGGGCATCTCTGCATATTTTAATTTCTTTCTCAGTTTTGAAGATAATTACACCAGGATTGAGTGGCCTTGCGTGCTCCCCATTCAAGTACCTATCGGTACAATTAATCCCAGCACTGTTCTGAGCAGCGGCACAAAGGGCCTTTGGTGTAAAGTCCTTTATCTGGGAACAAAGAGCTGCCTGTGGGAGAGAACCTGAGGTTGCACTTTTCCCGCTGACAAGCCTTCTGTACACAAAAGCTGAGCTACAGGAGCACCCTGTGAGCGCGTCAGGTCTGGGAGACCCCGCAACATGTTTTCTTGAAGCGTGCAGCTCACCCACATCCCTCCTCCTCCAGGAGGATTCTTCCCCCTCTGGCCCCAGCTAAACCCTGTAGCCATCCTCCTCCCAGGCAGGGGATGTCCCTGCTTCAGGGCTAGGGGACTCCACAGCAAAGAGCTGCCTGCATTTAGGAAGC